GCTCCACTAGACAGAAGGAGAAGGTCACATTCACGCGACATTACTGGTATGACATTGTGACCTCCTCGCTCTTCTAGTTTTTATTTTACGCAAAAGCATGTAAAAGGAAATTCAATTGGTTTAAATAGATATAAAGGTCACTTTCTGGAGTAAGTGAAATATATTTACCCCTGAAATGTTGTAGAAAGCTTTGATGTATTTTTTAACACTTTTTTAAAATTTTGAAGAAAATAGCCGCCGTGCCATAGATTTGGCACAGATTTGAATGTTGGCAGGGTCGCAAAACGCTAAGGTGATAAACGGAAAATATGGCTTCTTTGCAAACATTGCATTTTTGTGTTGCAAGTAATCAGAATCAGGGAATTAATCATGCATTTGGGGTGCTTACGGCAAGCAGTCACAAATCTTTTCATAGCTCATATTTTTTCCAAGTTCCAAACAATCAAAATACTACGGATTTTTAAAAAAAGAATTATTTTTAAAAACTACATCGTAGCCTTCTCCAAAATTTCAGGAGTAAATATATTCTACTAAATTTTTAAAAAATTTTCAAAAATAAATTGAATTTATTGAAATTAAATTTATTTCAATTACTCCAGAAAGGGTCCTCTGTATTCTACTGGTTTATACCAGAAACTCAAAAACATGTAAAATTTCAATTTTATTTGACGTGATTGATTAAGATCATCCCTTCTAAATAATTATTTTAGGAATGTCAGTCTTGAGACTAGCCCATTTTCCCCTGCATGTCCATAAGTTATTTTCTCTTGAAAACTTTAAGAAAAGTAATAATGTTTAATTTGTTAACTTAAATAATCAAGAATTATCCTATTACGTCCATCCCCTGAATAAAAATATAAAATCTGTTGCAAAATGTATTAAATGCATTGAACTGCAAAATCCATGTTTTCGGTAAATTTAGCCAATTTTTCCTTTGTTATCTTGGAAGTAAAAGCAAATAATATCCATTTTCTCCAACTGCACACAAGAAATACAAACGTTGTAATTCTAAAATACAGAATTCAGTTCGATTTTTCGAAAACTCTGATATAATTAGACAATTATATATACAAATATTCGAGGTTCAATAAATCCTTCTTTTGGTGGTTTTTCAGTCCCTCTGTTCTTCCAATAGGTCGGTATTTAAAAATCATGCTAACCAAGAGAGTGTAAACAATTGCCATGATTTAATGTCAGGGATTATAAAAGCTCTACTAAATTCATACCGGTCCGACATTATTCTCGTACTGTACTTGAATTATTTCGCCCCATAATTGGCAATAATTTATTTTTGAGTTTTGGAGTGCGGAAAATATTATTTTGATTCTCTCTCTTCGAACATTTTTTAGAACAATATATGGTCAGCTCATATTTTCCAAATATCTCCGTAGTGTTTTGATTGTTTGGAACTTGGAAAAAATGTGAGCTATGAAAAGAATTTGACTGCCTGCCCTAAGCATCCCGAATGCATGATTAATGATCTAGCCCTTGAAGTAAAAATACAATGTTAGCAAAGCAGCCATATTTTCCGTTTATCTCCTTAGTGTTTTGCAACTCTGCCAAATCTGAGGCACCAGTCCGATTATACAAAAATATAATTATATTATAAATAACAGAGAAGATTGACACAATTATACGATGATGAATGTAGATTTTTAGATAATTGATGATGTTTGTAATTTTGAATCTGAAGCATCCTGAATTCTTTCAAAATTTGGAATATCCTCGATTCCTCCCCCCCCCCCATACAGGTTGAATCTTCCAAAACTTGAGAGAATACCGGAAACTACGTTGAATTCAATTTCCGGTTTGTATAATGTTATACACCACTAAAATTATACAATTCTCACATATCTTTGCAGTAAATATATCAGACATTAGGCTCGATCATACTATACAGGGGTTACACATAAAAAATAAAACTTTAGAGAGGACAGTATAAACTTATCAAGTTTCCTTGCATTCTTGTTTCCAAGTATCTGTAAACATATATTTCTTTGTCAAATCATTTATATATATATAGTATGCATGGGGATAACCAGAAAACTGAAGAAAAGAAAGACAACATTAATGCAAAACTGAAGTGTATTTGATATTGTTACAAAGCAAATAGCTGTGATTGTAAGTTCTTAAATCACGTATTAAGTGAAATGCCCAGCCAGAACCCAAGGGGGTAGAAGGCCTTGATTTGGCTTTATTTTAAACATTATATTATTATTATTATTAATTATTATAATTATTAATTTTCATTATTATATTATTATTTTTCCGCAGGTGCCGAGCAGTTCTAAATAATTAAAAATATTTATTAAATTGTAAAGTAATTTAATCTTTATTTTAAATATCATATTATTATTATTATTATTATTATTTCTCAACGTCCTTAACAAAACAACGCTTATTTTCCATTGACAAAAAAATTGCTTATTAAAACAAAAACATATATAATTTATGCAACTGTCATGCAGGACAATAGCTTTTTTTGTTGAGATTTTTATTTTTTTGGTTTGTTTTAAATTTAAGGTTTAAATCTAAGATTTTGAAGCACGAACAAAACAGTGAACAAACAAAAAAATTAAAATCACACCAAAAACTTATTTTCCAAATGATAACACAAGAGGTGTTAAGTCATATCCCCTGCGCAACATTCTCAACACAATTTCCCCAGTTACAACTTCCCCAACAGAAATTTCCCCAACTACTAACTTCCCCAATCACTAATTTCCCCAGCAGCAACTTCCCCAACAGCAATTTCCCCATGCAGTAAAATCCTTGATTTCCCCAACAGAAACTTCCCCAATAGCAACATCCCCAACAACAATAACCGAATTCTCAATATCTGGCCGAGCATTTTCTCTAACATTATTTTGGATTAGGTTAGGTTAACACTATTTATGGGCCGAGCACTGCAGCTAGGATGGGATAGGGGGCCGAGCGCTGAAGCCTCTTAAATTTTGAATCATGGGCTGTCTCTCACATTATTTTGGGTTGGTGGGGTTAAGACTACTTCTGAGCCGAGTGCTGTGGCTAGAACAGGCTATCACGGTGACAAAATTTAAATCAACACTCAACATTTAAGAGGCCGCAGCGCTCGGCCAAAGAATTGGCTTAACCTAATTAACTATTTGAAAAGTTCATTGGAATAATGTTAAAAACGCAAATATTTTATATTTTATTGCATGGCAAAATTGTTGTTGGGGAAATTACTGTTTTTACTGCATGGGGAAATTGTTGTTGGGGAAGTTGCTGTTGGGGAAATTAGTGATTGGGGAAATTGTTGTTGGGGAAGTTGCTGTTGGGGAAATTAGTGATTGGGGAAATTGTTGTTGGGGAAGTTGCTGTTGGGGAAATTGTTGTTGGGGAAATTGTTGTTGGCGAAATTGGATGTTGGGGAAATTGCTGTTGGGGAAGTTGCGCTGTGCAAATAAGCTACCACCACACAAGATAATTGGATATATAAACTGGTAAACTGTTCCTAGGTAGAGTGTACCATGTACTGTACTGCCACTGAAAACAAATATCTAAAATTATAATCAAATGTCTTAATAACATTTCTCGATGAGCTTGATTATATATATATACATTTAATCAATCAATTAATCAATGCATCGTTGAATGAATGAATAACACAAAGAAAAGAATTTAACTAAAATAATCAGAGCTGGGAACTTTTGTGTCGCATACTCATAAAACCGATCACTTGATCTCAATATCCAGGATGGGCACTTTTAATTTGATTAATCTCTTCATTTAAGTTATCTAACTAGCTAGAAAAACGACAATCTCTTCCACATTAATAATCATATAAAAGTTGAAAGGGTATTTTTCCTTTTCTTTTTAAGATTGCTTGAAATTATAACAATAGTCCCATTAAGATACGGGTCTTTCTAATTAATTTACTGTTTTTAAGTACTTTTAAAAAAAACACGATCATGATTTCTTATAAACATGGAAATTATTTGACGACATCCGTTTTAAATTTAAAATTATGAAATAAAAAAATTTGGGGCAAAAACACCATTTTTTAACTCAAAGTGAAAAAGAAAAATATCTTTATAGATTATTATGGAGCAAGTAAAATAAATCAGATCTGACATTTTTTTGAATTTTACAAAGTGTCGGAAGATTTTACAATAAAAGTCCATTAAATATGTAAAAATATGTTTCTCTGCAAAATATTTTCAAATTCTTTATTGAATTTGTTTCTTGAATTTATTTTTATGTTTTCCTTTGTTCTGTAACAGGTGAGGTTTTTAAAAAAAACTTTTGTATATTTGAATTAGTTCCATGTAAATCTTTCTGGCATTATTTAATTACTCGATAATGTGAAATTTTATATTTGTAAATCTAGATAAAGTTACGTGTAATCATAGGTATCATGCAAGAAAACACTTTAAGATTGTTTTTCATCTAGGTGTATTTTGTTCCATGAGCATATCTTAATTAGTGGTAAACCTAAAAGAATTATCTTAAATTGGTCCTTGTATTAGGATTTACCTTTTCGTTAATTTAAATTTTTACCATTTTAGAAAGCTTTAAAATTACTATGTTTATCAGGACACCTTGTATCTCATATTGTGAATTGTTTTATCTGCATTTAAGAGGAGTTTTTAAATATCCTTTAAAGCAAAGAACACTAAAGTACATTCCTGGTTTCGAAAACTTACTTTTCCTTTTCGTTCTTGTAATCTGACGAAATTATGAGAAATTTTTCTTTAATTTTTTAATCATTAAAAGCATTGAACTCTCTTTTCATCACAAAAAAAGTTTTGATCCATAAAAAAATTATGTAATACATTAGAATCCTTACTTTGTTTTAATGTTTCTTTTTTTGTACTCACTGTATTCCAAAACATAAGCAGTAAACACAGAATATGATTACTCGTAATTTATTAAATTTCTTGAAAGCGGCGGCTAGTTCATGAAAACATTTTTATTACATTTTTTAACAAGAAAGAAAATAAAGTGAATAAAAACAATCTTTGAAAATTGTAAATTGTAAATTCATGAAATTTTCAAGAAAATATGAGAATTAAGATTTTAAAAAGTATTATTTTGTTTTCTTTTGGATTTACTGGAACAAGCTTGGGGAAAGGAGAAGGTCATGGAAAAGGTAAAATCAGCCCAGTGTATAACTTGAAAAGGTAAAATCAGGCCAGTGTATAACTTGAAAAGGTAAAATCAGGCCAGTGTATAACTTGAAAAGGTAAAATCAGGCCAGTGTATAACTTGAAAAGGTAAAATCAGGCCAGTGTATAACTTGAAAAGGTAAAATTGCAGGCCAGTGTATAACTTGAAAAGGTAAAATCAGGCCAGTGTATAACTTGAAAAGGTAAAATCAGGCCAGTGTATAACTTGAAAAGGTAAAATTGCAGGCCAGTGTATAACTTGAAAAGGTAAAATCAGGCCAGAGTGTATAACTTGAAAAACAATGAAATGGCTGTGGTACTGTGTTAATGTGTTTACTGAACATAATACACAATTGATGTGTTTCAATTTTCATGTTTATTCGTCTTCCTATTCCACAGTTTTATATGGTTGCAAGTAAATGCGCTATTGAAACCATATTGCCCTTAAAACTGCTCTTTAAATGGGACAGACTTGCACACTCTAGATAAGAAAGGGGGTTTCAATACCCTTGTCCGCTTACACTGTTATACATTTAAGGCTGTAAACATACATAGGGTTCAATACCCTTTTGGACTGAATCCGGATTGTTTGGCTTTATTCTTAGGTTGCATTTATTAAGCATAGTTTCTCCAAATGGGAGCAATGAACATATATGATACAGGGTGTCCCAATAAACATGGGAATTCAGTGACGAATTCAATATCGTCTTTTTAAATAATTCTTTAATTTAGTATAGTGATACCTACTGAGAAAGCTGTAATCTGTAAGAGTTTCGTCTGCTATGTTCACATTGTGTTTGTTTATGTTTTAACTGGATAGGTTTGTACTTAGTAAAACAAGAAAATTACAGTATACGAACAGAGTAAACTTGTCCGTCTTCACTGTTCATCTAGCGGAAACATTACAAACACATCTTTACAGTCTTTTACCCTTTTCATAAAATAAACTCTAGCAGACATAATAATATTATGGTTTTTGAAATTAGGTATTACAATGCTAATTCATAACAACGACGATATCAAATTCGTCACTGAATTCCCATGTTTTTTGGGACACCCTGTACTATGTACATATGTATTTTGTATAATCTTATGTAACTTTTACAATTTTGACATCATCTCCTGCTATATTTATAATAAAAAGAAAAACTAAAGACAACTTTAATTTTGCTTTACACCGGTTATGACAGTATCGAATACATCATTGAATACATATACTCTCTAACTAGGAGATATTGATTGGTTTGTGGCAGAAAACTGGGTAAAATCTACAGAACAGTGTATAACTCAGGTAATAGGGGTCATATATGTTCTTTAAAATATTAATCGTGACCTCGCATGGGAAATGCAAATTTATCCGGTTTCACATTAAAAATTCAATACATTTCTGTTCTTCTCAATAGCTCTTTTTAATAAGAGGAGAAGCACAGAGAATAGAATACATATTAGAGAGGAATTTACTAGAAAAAAGTGTAAAACGGCCATTTTGTTGTACTGTTTCCATACTGCAGGTGTACTTAACATATTTATGCTATATAACCTCTTGGGCCATGGAATATCATTTTATAGAAAATCTAAAATTATTGTTAAAAGAAAACCAAATTATGAAATAGGCTGGTTTCATAATTGACCAATGATCATTTCACATAGACTCTATGCCTTCCACTTTACAAATAATGATTTTCCGTTATAACTATAAATCAAATGATGTTTTTTATTCACCTAATTCATTATAAAGTTTATTTAACAGTTTAAAAAATTCGAAATTGAAATGAATAGTCTAGGGAACATACTGTATTAATGTACTCTACTGCATGTAATTTGTGAACATTTACATGATTTGTACACTTTGAACTCCTTTCAGGCTGAAAGGGACTGAAAAAAATCATACAGAGAGATTCTTTAAATTCCCCTCTAATATATATTCTATTCTCTATGAGGAGAAGTTATGATTGAAAACAATTTCATTACATTACATGCATTTACTTAAGTTTGACAACATTTTTGTAAATGATAAATGATTGCTTGCTTCAAGAATCACACTGGAAAAACTAGGGCATGACAAATGTGTGTCGCTAATTATTCATAATCGACCTTTAAGTCGTTCAGTGGAACCCGAACACCATTTGTAGATTACTAAAAACCAATGAATTTAAGATTAAAATGGGAGGCGTCACTGTGCACACAACAAAAGTTGGGGAACGCCCTGGTGCAAAGCTGGCGGAGATGCAGTACAAACCAAACTCAATAGTCAACATCTGTGTACACAGGCCGCCATCTTGGATTTTCAGGTTGAACTCTTTAAACCAAACCAAATATGTAATTTAAAAGTTCATGCATTTGTTGTGTCTAGGTCAGGAATGGTTACGTTGATCTGGTTACCGGACAGAATGGAGACAAGCAGACATTTTTACCCAAACCCACAATCTTATCCATTCCCAGACAATAAAGACGACTTATATCAAATTAATCTCAGAGAAGAACTCTGAAAGAAAAAATGTGTGCCCGTTTATTTCAAAGTTATAACAATATAATCAACGTATTACTTTATTTTATTGATTGAGAAGCATATTTTTTTTAATTTTACTTACACATAAAATAAATCTTAAAACATGTTAGGTGATATTTTTTTCTGATAGTTATTTATTATATGGAATCAAGTAGGACTGGAGACACCCAATTAAATACACACTTTGGGATATGTCGGTTTCGGGTAAAAACATTCTCTAGGCATATTTCACCCCACTGTGTTTATTGTTGTTGAAATCATGGATAAATTTATTAAATACAGGAAAAAAACGTCCAAAGATGGAGATAAAAAATGTTTTACGCCAGTTTTTGCCCACCCTTAAATAAAATCCTGAGTGTCTGGGTCTACACGGACGTACGGAGAATAGAAAAATCTGAAGATCTGTTTTGCTTTCAACCATTACTTTTATGAAAATTTTTGAAGAAAGTTTTGATGTCCTAAAGGGAGTGACCGGCAATGTATGGTAGTTTTTTTATAGTTAGATAACGACGACCAAACTGTATAAAAATATATCCACAGTAAAGTAATTAGATGTTTAGGAACATATTTCTCAATTTTCTCAATAAATCAATGTTAGAATCAATTATTTCATTTTAGTGAGTTTCCTATTCTTTAAGAATTTGTTCGCATATTTCTCCAAATTCTTCAAATGTCATCTTTTCAAAAAAAAGGCGATGCAATTTACAGTAAATGTTTGTGAACAATGAGACACTACAGAAACCAATTTATGAAGATTACTTATTTTCAATAATAGTTTTATTTTCTAGCTCAACCTATCCTAACAACCAATTAGTTCATTGTAGTATTTTTACTACATTTTCAATCGTCCTTCTCGAATAGTTTTTTTTTACCCGATTTTTTAAATCCTCCCTCAAAAATGAACAATCTATGAGGATTTTAAAGATTAGATTTGCGCTCTTGCTGAACAAATATGCACCGTGAAGAAGTCTCATAGGTCTCAAAGGATTCATAAAAAAAGTTTCCAAAATACTTCATTCTCAGATCAACTACTATACATTGCCGGTCACTCCCTTTTAGTCTCTGAAACATTAAAACCTAAATCGTAAGTTTCTTGGAATTCTCTCTAGGACTTAAAAGTGGCATTACTTAAACAAATAAGATTCTGTTGAAATATTTATTAGACAAACAACATTCCTTGCCACGTTATTAAACATTCCAGGATTTTCGCAGATGGGTGTCACAAAATAGCAAGATATTTTTTACTTTAGAGTTGCATGCCCGATCGAAAAACCTTTATTTAAGACATAAAAAAGGTTTTTATCGAAAAACGTGTCGAATTCTCTCCATTTCCTTATTACTAAAGAATTTTGTCGACAATTTTTTTATATAGCCAATAAACATTGGAGTTTTCACAAGAATAATAATTCTGGTGGAGAAGCAACCTTTTAGTTCTCTTTCTAGAGATTGGAAGTTAAATAAACGTTTAGATAATTATTAAAGACATTGTTTTCACATTTTATTTCAATGTGACAATAAACATTTTTAATCTTTATATTTTATTACTTTATATGTTTACTAAACAGGTGGGATGATAGTAAGATATAACAACAAAATAAACAAATTGACATACATACATAAAATCAAGGATACGTATGAAAAGCATGAATAGATATCGATGAATAATAACAAATATCACATATTTTTTAAACAAAGCTTAAGTTAAATTTTGTACACAGTACATAACATATGAGGAATTTAGACTAGTTTATTTTTTATGTTGTATATGGGATAGGTTTTTGTTTAGATGAAAACCAAAAAAAAACATTTTTCACTGACTGAAATCTGTGTAATGTACATGTAAATTGTACACTGTGTAATGAACATACCTGTAAACCTGAAATTTAATAACCCTGTAGCTGACTCTGCATGCCAAAGAGAATGCGGCTGAGAACTCTAAAATAAAATAATAATATATTTTGAATACGATGTTCTACTAGAAACACATAAATAAAAGTAGAATGGAATTATAAGAATAGTTACAGTGAAACCCTTAATAACATCGGAAGAATTTATCAAATGTCGTCTTGACAATTTTTCAATGAGTTTTATACTATATTACGTAAATTTCAGTATTTGCGAAAATAAATAAATATTCATGAATATGCGGGAACAGTTTTAAAGAGTTCCAAATAATTATTTATTTAAAAAACTAAATATCTGCAACATTCCATTATCAGAAAGTGAAGAATACGACATTAGATGAATTCTTTCGATGTATTCGTTATTAAGGGTTTCACTGTATATTATCCTAAGTATAGTTATTCTTTATTCTATGTATTTTAAAGCCATATTTTTTTTCTATATCCATACTGCACTACATACACTGATGTAGACTTCTAAAAGCTGTGAAATATATTTATTGTTGCTTGAATTTGATAATCCCTTGATACAATATTAAAACATGTATTTCTCTAAGAGAAGCTTATAGAACATCGTACACATAAAATATTCAGAAAGTGTTACCCACAAAGGATGAGTCTTCAAAGACGACTGTACGGAATTTATATTGTCTGTTTCCTTACATTCATGATTCCCTGCAACTGTAAACTGTCTTTGCTAAATCATATAATAAACTTCTATAATAAAACTAATTTCAATTCAAAAGACTGTAATTTAACTTGGAATCGTCATATTTTAAGAGTTTTAAGTCGACTTTTATACAGTCTCATCTATTGTGGGTAATTATAGGGTATTCATGAATCATGATCCATTGAAGAGAAAGGTTTACAAAGTTTTCACCAATAATAAAATTCCTTACTCTGTAAGTAATTTTTTTGATAAATTAATCTCATCAATCTGCATTTAAACTCATCTTTTTGCAATTTTAACCATTTCACGGGAAAAAAAATCAAATAACACATTATCGTTAATATTTTTCTTATTTTTTCATTCGAGAGCACTGAGCTGCTAATTTAGTCGGTTAACAAGAATTAGAATTTGAAAAGTCTGGTAACATGATATCATGTATAATCTATGGGTAACATCATATCATGTATATCTATGGGTAACATCATATCATGTATATCTATGGGTAACATCATATCATGTATATCTATGGGTAACATCATATCATGTATAATCTATGGGTAACATCCTTCCTATTACAATACAGCAAACGTGGCATGACTTTCTATATAGTTTTCGACCTAACAAAACATGGAAAATGTTTTCACTGTGATCTTGCCAGGCCACATTTGTTGCATAAAACGTTGGTCCAGACTGGACGGTACATCTTGCACCGGCTCGGACTTTTAGAGTGTGTTTAAAAAATGTACATGAGGGAGGGGGGGGGGGGGGAAAGACTTCTCATATCACCCAAAAATTCGCCTTGTCGTGAATTAAACCTGTGTTAAAAGTCAACAAAAATTTGAATTTTTTAAAATACTAAATGGTCCGACATTTGACCAATTTGACATCGGATAAATGTGTGTAAACCAAGGTTGATTAATAAGAATAGATACTCTGGATGCTCTCCAATCTACGGAAAATGTCGTTTTTGTAGTATGTCAGCTGTAAAATCTGAGAAAATACTGTCACTTCAGCTTCCGCCAATACGTCATAAGAGTGTTGATTGCTATGAGGGCGACATTTCCGTTTATTTGAGCGCATCCAGAGTATTAAATCTTCATAAAGAACCTTGATGTAAACTGTAAAGTGTACCTTACACCATCCTTCTCCTGGATATACATCAGCTCCATCAGCTAGTGGTTGAGAGAGTATAGGGAGCCAGCTCATTATACTAGATAAACTGTTCACATACGGTTGAACAAACGATCCAACCTGAATTAGAGAATACATGCGAAAAATGTGTTTCATAAGCTCTAGCTGTTTCGGGGGAAATTTTACGCTTTTATCATAAAAAAAAAATAAAACAAAACAGTAAAAAATAGTAATGAACAGCATGAAATAGTAAATACAAAAAATCTTTATTTAGTGGGTACAGTGAAGTCTTAGTAATTCCCTGACTTTTAAAAGTGAACCCGTAAATTATTGAACCCTGTATGTATGAAAAACACTGTTTTAAATGTGACATTTTTTTTTACAAAATCTTAAAATGATCAAACAAATTTACAATTTTTGAGAAAATATAAGACCTCAATTATGTAAAAGTTATTTAACAATGCAATGAAAAACATTATTAAAATCATAGATGAAGGACGACATTTTTTCTCACCATAATTCCTGTTGGTGTCTGAAGTTTCTCTACGTTAAAAGTTCTTTCTTGCCAGAGAAAAGCAAATACAAGCTTTTTAGTCGCACTGAATAAACACATTTATTAGTCCTTAATGCATTTATTATATTTCTAGACTCGGTGAACGTCGGGAAATAGTAATTAGTAATATTTTTCATAAAAACATCCATTCATTATAAATTTATAAATATATCGTCTTATTACATATACAAGGTTACCCAGAAATAAGAAAACTTCAGAGACGACTGCACAGATTATCTAGGCTTATTAATGTATGGTTCGCTAAAGTTGAATGCTTTCTTTGTAATACTGTTTTCCATTGGAATTTTTCTTGAATAGTTTTTGATTAAAAAGGGAAGATTAGTTTTTACTTGAAATTATTTTTATCTAAAATGCGAATATTTCCTTGAAAATACCTCAAATTCGGCTTTTTACAACTTTTAAATAATGCACATTCCTAAACATTCTTTATGTAAAAAGAACAAACTTCCAGGTCGTTGTTCAATATTTTTTAATAACCAATTTAGTTTTTGAAAAAAACCTATGTAGTTTTAACTAGCTGGGCTTCCCGGCCGCTTCGTGCCAATCTTCGATTTTAACTTTTAGTTGTTGCGCCATTTTCTCTTCTCAAACTATCATACAAAAACAAAGAAATTCACGGATGTATGGATTCATGTTGTGGATTTTAAAAAATCGAATTTTTTAAAAGACAATTTTTTAATTCTGAACATTCATAACCTTTCCAAGGGTTATGAGAGGTCCCACAAAAAAATTAGGCCCGTGTGACGTTTATTGTATACAAACAAACAAACAGACACCCAGACAAGCAAAGAATAAATATTAAAGAAGGAGAATGAAAATTTTACCTTAAAAGTTGAAGAATAATCTTTACTCGTTGGAAAACTAAATAAAGTGGCAAACTTATTGTACAGTGGGACTCAATAAACCGTGAAATAAAAAACGACTCAGCTTTCAGAACTTAAAAATAAGTTGATTTTCATGCTACTCTTTAAACCAACAAGAAATGTATACACGTCAAACTAAATAAAGTAGCACGTAATATTGAAATTTTAAGTTTTTGGAAGAGCTATTGAGAAGAATAAAAATTATTAATATTTAACCGGATAAATTTGGTTTTCTCATACTTGTGTGTAAAATCAAAACTAGAGGAGCTACGAGGTCATAAAGTCCTATGAATTAGACCTTTACATTAATTTAAATATATTTGGAAGGAAAGGCCAAAGGGGCTGTGATTAAGATGAATATATCAGTCATAATTATTGTGGTTGCATCATCCTCGATATAAATGTTTGCAACCTTCCTGACAGGGTGACCGGCTTGAGATGAGTTCTAATGACCGGTAGATACCGGGAAACAATGAATTCCTGTAGGTCAGCAGGGACACCAAATGCATTAGTTAATGTTGGCACTAATCAAATATGTAAAAAAAGTGTTATCATCAAATTAATTATAATAATAATATTAGTAATAATGATATTAAATAATACAATGAGAACCAGAACACTCTGGAATAGAAAGGCGACTTTTAGACTCAAGTTATAACTTTAAATAGTCCAACGAACATGAGACAAAGCAAGTGTGTAGTGTACACAGACCCATTTGACATTACAAGCATTGTAATAAGTTATTAGTAACAGTATTAGCTTTGTACCAACATTAATTACACTTAAGTACATTGCAGTAATGATGTCTTCATATTCCAAAGTTGTATGATTCTCATTGTAGTACTAATAATAATTACTAGCTAAAGTGGCCGGCATTGCCCGTGGAATTAAAAATATTTTTTTAAAAATTAAATTTCCGTCTTGAAAAGACAAATCGAAATTTTTAGCCTATGAATACTCATGCGTTCCCTCAAAAAATTTCAGCCAATTTGGTCCAGCCGTTTGGCCAACTATAACTAACATTATATATATATATTTGAGGGAAGAACTGTATTATATAGATAATAATAATAATAATAATAATACCTATGTTATCTACCAATGAATCTGGGAAGACTAGACTGAAGATTGTACAGAATGTTGCTGAAAATGTTGTCTGGTAGTCAGGTACACTTACTTTATACATCAGCATTATTTTGAATTTAAAATTTGTTGAAAATCAGAACTTTAAAAAAATATTTAGAAGTCACTTAATCCATGTTTTTTATTCTATTCTTTTTATGCAATATTTATCTTTAATTCTTTTTGTTAGTTGAGTTTTGACTGCATTTTTTGTTTTAGCGCCATTTTGATTTGGTCGCCATTTTAAGTTTTTAGCTGCTACATATATGCTGTTCCTTGTTTAGTTTTCTCCAACCAGTTCTCTACTGGCTCTTCCAGGAATAGATAAACCATCCTCTATGTGAGGGACAAATCAAATATATGAAAATTACCCCCACCAACTCGTCGCCTCCCTTTTTTGCCTAACTTTACAAAAACAGAAATGTGATTATAATTGTTTGTTTCAGGATATTTCAGATCCAGACATATCCCATTTTACTTCATTAATCAAATATTCAATTTTTTACATTCTTTTTCTGCCCTTTGCTCACGCAGGAAAAACAAATAATGTATTTACCGCAAAGGCAATTAAATCTAAATCAATCTGATTGGATCTGACAAGTGAAGATTTGCACATTTCACCAGATATCCCTCCCATCTCTCCTTACTTCCACATTATCATTTTAATATTTGTCCTTGCCTTAGAGATCTGAACGGCGGTAAGTGGGCGGGCAGTTTCCGCCAAATCTGTTATCGCTGGCGGTAACCCAGGTATACCCGCCAAACTCGCCTGTGGTAAAAAACAGTATACATAATAGAAGTGGTGAAAGAAGTAGAAGTAGTAGAATATACTGACCATATTAAAGAGAAGCAGTATACATAGTAGAAGTTGTAGAAGAAGTAGTAGTAGTAGAATATATTGACCATATTAAGGAGGAGCAGTATACATAGTTGAAGTGGTAGAAGAAGTAGTAGTAGTAGAATACATATATATTAAGGAGAAGCAGTATACATAGTAGAAGCGGTAGAAGAAGTAGATGTAGTAGAATATATTGACCATATTAAAGAGAAGCAGTATACATAGTAGAAGTAGTAGAAGAAGTAGAAGTAGTAGAATATATTGACCATATTAAAGAGAAGCAGTGTACATAGTAGAAGTAGTAGAAGAAGTAGTAGTAGTAGTAGAATATATTGACCATATTAAGGAGAAGCAGTATACATAGTAGAAGCGGTATAAGAAGTAGAAGTAGTAGAATATATTGACCATATTAAAGAGAAGCAGGATACATAGTAGAAGTAGTAGAAGAAGTAGAAGTAGTAGAATATGAAAGATCAAACTAATATGTCAACAATGTCCATCATTTTTTTATATAATAATTTTCATCAGTGGTTTCTCCGTAAAATGACATGTGTTTTTTGGTTTAGAAACAATAAAGTAAATTGTCAAATTAAACCATTGTTAAGCTAGAAAAATGACAATATTTTCCACAATATTGGTCAGATAAAAGTTTAAAATGTAAAATTGTGAATCGGGCATTCTCCTCATTTAATGAAGGGTCACTTAGAAATTATGTCGATATTTCATTTTAGTTTACTAACCTGATGTATAATGTAGGATATAGTTTACTAACCTGATGTATAATGTAGGATATAGTTTACTAACCTGATGTATAATGTAGGATATAGTTTACTAACCTGATATATAATGTAGGATATAGTTTACTAACCTGATGTATAATGTAGGATATAGTTTACTAACCTGATGTATAATGTAGGATATAGTTTACTAACCTGATGTATAATGTAGGATATAGTTGATAAACTGACTAATATACCTGAGTACTAGCATAATAATGCCAGTGGCACATATTCTCTGGAAATGAATATGTACAATAATAGCTAATATATATAAAACCCCCAAGCCTAGGAGTATTTATATCTGAAACATGAAAGATGTAAAGTACACAACAATATATAAATGTAACCAAAACAATAACATATATATAGCCTGTTCCTGGAGACTCTTCCAGTATCATGATATAGTCCCGTAATAGAAAACATCATCAGACTAACACCAATCAACCTGATGTATAATGTAGGATATATAGTTTACTAACCTGATGTATAATGTAGGATATAGTTTACTAACCTGATGTATAATGTAGGATATCCTGATGTATAATGTAGGATATAGTTTACTAACCTGATGTATAATGTAGGATATAGTTTACTAACCTGATGTATAATGTAGGATATAGTTTACTAACCTGATGTATAATGTAGGATATTACAGCAATCATGAAATTATCAAGAACCTGACCAAGCTTTGTGTGGCTTCCATGGTAGAAGGCGGAACCTAATAGAATATACATTTGGTTTGTTGATTTATTTTAAACATTTATTTATGATTTACAAAGGAATTGAGTCTTTGCCACAAACTCGGATTTTTAAATCCAAATGTCGTAGAACGTACATATTTCAAACTATGAATTCTGGTGGATCAAACAATGTAAGTTTGATATTTGAAAGGTATGCATCATCTGGTTGATGAGATTTAGATATTATAAAATTGGGATTTGTGGCAAAAACTCAATTCCTTTCAATCATTATGAATTCTTAAATTTCATTGGTATTCTTACATTTTGTTCCATATATATTCAATATTCATTTATTATTCTTAAATTAAGCTACTGCTGGGTTAGCTGTATATATTTACTGTATAACTAACCTAGTGCTAGGTTAGCTGTATATATTTACTGTTATATATATACTGTATAACTAACCTACTGCTAGGTTAGCTGGATATATTTACTGTATAACTAACCTACTGCAAGGTTAGCTGAAGACTCTACTATAGCTACGACAGTGGGTAAAGGAAGGGACCAATATCTATATTCACAAACCCCCTGGGCCATGTAATAGTAGGCGATATTCGAGGCGAAGTTACAGGGTTCCATCACTAGCAGGTTCTCATACCTACAAGATTTAGTAATAAGGTAATAATATATCTTAGTTCCTCACTCAATTTCAACCCCCCCAAAACCAACCCTTATCTTTGGTTCTTATTTTCTCTTTTCGCAAAAATTTTAGTTCTGCATTTAATTATTTTTCGGTACATTGACAAATTTATTATCTATAAACTTTTCGATTTAATTTAAAAAAAAAAAACAGCAAAATAGAGGAAAACATCTTACCCGAGATAAGTTCTGTTCCTTTCAGTAAATAAGCTGGGATTAGCTCCTAATCTATCAGTAGGTGTACCCCCTTGCCTACAATATCATATTAATTATACAAATAAGAAATTTTTCCTCGGTTTATTTTCAAAATTTTCCCCAACCTAGAAATAAAAAAGTCGGAATAAAGATTTTAAACAATTTATCTTTTCAGAAAAATTTACATAAAATAAAAAATGGCCGCCTACTTATTCCTGCAATTAGAAATCCAAGATGGTGGATTTTATAATGTTAAAATTGAAAAATAAAGGCGGTTATAGAAACTATAAATTCTTGGTTAATATTCAGTATAAAACCATTCTAAGCCTACTCTCATGGGACCCGGGTGTCAGTTATGTCTTACAAAATGTGAAAAACTTTTAATATTTGAAATCTCAGCAAAAACAATTTATTTTTTAATTAAAAGTATAATTAAACATGGCAACACCAAGTTGAAAGCTGTTCAGAATAATGTGAAAGGAGACACAAGTATGTTGGAATATAGAAAATTATTTTTATTTTAGGAAAGTAACAAATGGTCTCGTTTACGGGAACCCTATCATCCGATCTAGAGGAAACTGACCTAAGATGTTTCTAACATTATGGGTTTCCGGACTAAAATTGTATTAAAACTAAAAAGAAGATAGGTTAGGTTAAGCTGGGTAGGTGTAGTTGGATGGGCTTAGACGATATTTAAATGCCGAGTCGATTTAAATCTGTAAAAACGTGAAGGGAATGATTCACGGAAGTTGGTAGTAAGATTTTGACTCCACAGGAGACCACCGGAGGGAATTCTTTTTCACTGGAGGGGTTTGAAAAAATGCTTTTAACAATTCAAAACTTTACGCAGGGTGATTTACATTCCACTGGAGGGATTCAGATGTCCTTCCTGGGGGGTTATAATTCCACTGGAGGGATTCAGATATCTTTCCTAGGGGTTTATAATTCCACTGGAGGGATTCAGATATCGTAAAGTTTTAAATTGTAAAAAGCATTTTTTGAAACCCCTCCAGTGAAAATAAAATCCCTCCGGTGGTCTCCAGTAGAATCGAAATCTTACTACGAACTTCTTTGAGTGGTTTACTCTAGGTCAGTTTCCATGGCATCCTTGAATTGTTTTCATTACAATCTCACATTTTTTTAATGTTTTAAATTGTTAACCTGTTGTATTGAACTACTCCGCGCCAGAATTTCTCCTGATAAAAATCTATTCTAAATATCCAGAAAAAGCTGAATTGCTAAATCAAAATGTTCAATATTTAAAATCAATGATCTTTTTTTTGGTAATTTTAGACATCTTAAATATTATCTTTAGTGCAAAATATAAATACGTATCTAACTATCCTTTTAATGTTGAAAGCATTTCTCCAAAATGTGATTAAAAATAAATTAAGGTAATAAGTACATATCCTTCAAATTAAAAAAATTTCTAAAATGGATATCGAGATCAGAGATCAAGTTTCTAAAAGTGAGAAAAAACGTTAATTAATAGATTGAAATTTTTTCGCCAATTCACTTCAAACCTTGAAATAAGGCAATTTCACATTTTGAATCTTTAAAACACACCTTCCAAGGGAAGTATGGTTGCAAAGCTGAAACTTAAAGGAATTGATGGAAGGACAGCACCAGTAGTGGAGCCTACTGGCTATATAATTCCTTGCATTCTAAGTCGGGATATCAGAGTTCATGTAATTCATGTAATTGATGCTAAAATATGGCAAAGTTGAGAAATGTTTATGAATCGTGATTTTGGTTTAAATCCTGCTGAATGAATGAATGGATAACTGCCGTATAATAAAGTAATAAGAAAAGTGACGACATCATGATATGCAATTTTTACATCGTAAATGATTTGAATTTAATGACGACATTAAGATAGCATTAGGAATATTCATCCATTGAAAAAAAAATACAAAATTGCTATTGAAAAGTGTAAATTGTCAGTAAATGATTTGTTTTCGGCATTTCTTTTCATGTAAATCAAGTATGTACATATTGTACATAGCATCCAGAAAACATTGGAATAGTTGTCATGATAGAAAGAATGAAAAAAGACGACGATAATTCCACTATTTTACCAAGGCGCATACAGTACATACAATACATAAGTACATACAGTACTTACAGTAAATACAGTATATACAGTACATACATACAGTACAAACAGTACAAATAATAGTTTTATCCCTGAGATTGTTGAAGAGGAGGATGCCTTGAGAAACAGTACTGCAACCTGTTGTACTGTCGTCTGTTGTACACACCACCCCCCTCCATACTCGCCTAAAATATGTATTGTTCAAGTGGCATGTACCAGGGGCGGAACCATCATGTGTTTGTGTATATACAGTACATAAGAATCTCGGTATTTGTACAGTCTAGGAGAGTACATTTGTTTATTGTTAATTGTTTACTTAAAAATAAGTTTAATATAAATGTAATATATAATTTACATTTTTAAGTCAACACTGTAAGCCAAATTTCATGCAAAGAATATAATTTTATTAAAGTTTACAATAAACTACTCGTTATTCAAGCTTAATTATAATTGACGACATTGTTCTGCAATTTCCTTGACTTTAGTCACGTTGTGTGTCTGTACCAAAAGAGTGTGCATGTGTAATACCAAACTCGTCTGCAAAGCAGTGCGACTGGCTTTCTCATGCCAGACCAGCGCCATTGCCCTTCCCTTTTATTCCTATTCCCCGGCATGTACCTAATTACACTTTTTTCAGAGACTATCCATGAATATAAACTGCGCAAAGTAAATTAAAACTGGAAGCATTCAGGCGCGTAGTGGAGGTGTACCCCCCCCCTAAAAAACCGATAATAAGATAAAATAAAATTTAAAATCTATATTAATCTACCTGAAGGCTGACTACTAGTCATCTGACCATAATTACCAATCATTTAAATGAAACCCCGCATAGAAATATTGTAATTAATTAAGTACAAGAAAGAATTTGAACAAATAATCATAAAATGGACAAATTGTGACATTGTCGATTGATAAGAAAAGTAAAAAATCTTAATACATATGTAAGTTTACTGTTTAATAAATTAGAGCCTGCCTCTGTCTCTATGGGGGTGCATGTCTAGGAGGGGCACAGGGGTACCGGCCCCCCCTCCACTACGGGCCTGGAAGCGTTGTTTTATAATTAATATTCATCAGAGACCCTCAATTCTCTTGTTAAAATATTAAAATATGCATTATGCATATTTTCTGTACAAATCATTTTAATGCATTTGCTTTCAAAGGTTTGTCCTAAAAACGTTGAAAAATTTCCATAAATAATAATTATAAATATATATAAATAAGAATTATGATAAATCAACATTCCTTCCGGCCATTCTTCCAGTTTAGAAAATGTTGTTTACGTTCGCGTACCGTACACTCGTCACATAGATTTTACTCAAAGAGAATAGAATATATATTAGAGTGAAATTTACTAGAAAAATGTGTAAAACGGCCATTTTGTTGTACTGTTTCCATACTGCAGGTGTAATTCACATATTTGTGCTATATAACCTTTTGGGCCCTGGAACATCATTTTATAGAAAATCTAAAATTAGCATTAAAAGAAAACCAAATTATGAAATAGGCTGGTTTCATAATTGACCAATGATCATTTCACATAGACTCTATGCCTTTCACTTTACAAACGATGATTTTCCGTTATAACTATAAATCAAATGATGTTTTTTTATTCACCTAATTCATTCTATAAAGTTTATTTAACAGCTTTAAAAAATTCGAAATTGAAATGGATAGTCTAGGGAACATACTGCATTAATAAACTATACTGCATACAATTTGTGAACATTTACATGATTTGTACACTTTGAACTCCCTTTCAGCCTGAAAATTCCACTCTAATATATTCTATTCTCTTTGATTTTACTAGAAGGGGATCATTGATTTCTCGTGCTGTTTTTCCATAAATAGTCTGTAATAGCACTGTACAGATTGCTCTAGCTGGTTAAAACTCTGCCCGGGACTTGAAATAAACCGAAGTTTACATGGTGACGTACGTAATATGTATATTGTGCTTGCATGAATATTTTGTTCGATTTTTTTGAATACTATAAGGAAATTAAAGAACATAATGTATATGTAAATGCAATCTTGTTTTTTATACAAACATTACTATGCACATAAACCATGTTTTGGTTTTAAACCACAAATAAAGATTACTGAACCAGGGAAAAACTGCTAAAAGCATAGATAAAATTTGTCATGCAATGCAAAATTTATGCATGAAAAATATTTCCAATCATAAGACTGCGTTGCTACATAACCTTAAACTAAATGCAGCTAAAAACTAATTTACATTTAATGAGGAGACACGAATTGTATGGAAAGTATTCACTTTGTTTGTTTACTTGTCAGTTGTCACAAATCAATTCATAAGAAGATTGAAAGCGTTTGATTAGAACGTTTTTTAAAAAATAGAGTTTTGTACGAAAAAAGGTATTCATATCTGTATATTGATTAAACCACAAGTATTTTTAATTCTGTAGATATTACAGAGTTGAAGAAGTTTATGTTTACCTGTGTAGCATCTAGTACGGCGAGAGCAGTATCGAACCCGTCCCGTCTGTCCAATAGATCTGAGGACCCAGAGTAACTAGACGCATTCTTCCTCATCTCCTCCAGCTCCTCCTCGTCGTAATCCAGCGGAGCATCAATGATAAAGTTGTCCACCTAGAACCAGAGTTATGTTTTCAGAAAGAAAATATTCCCAAAGAAGTTGAGTCTTTGCCACAAACTAAAATGTTCTAATCCCTATACAACCTGATGGCGTAAACCTTTGATAAACTTTGATTCTTTGATCTATCGGAATTCTTTCTAGTTTGAAATATCTAAGGTCAACAAAATTTTGTTTCAAAGATTTTGGGATTAGAGTTGCGGCAAAGGCCCAATTTAAGTGAAATCCTAAAACAAAGTTTCCAATCTCGAAATATTAAAGATGAAATTATTTAATTGCAGTTAACAAGTTTAATTCTACAAACTAAATATTCTAACCTTAAACTCATTTTGGAAGTAATCCTTACGGATAATCTTGATGATAGTATCCGTCATGTTCTTCAACTGGTTTAAGCCCTCCGGGTTCTCAGGGGAGCTGAGGGTGTCGATGGTATTTAGCAACTTGTCGATCTCCTCTTTCTCTTTCGCCGCCTCCCCTAAATCCTCCTTCGCCCCTTGGTCTGGTTTAGGTGCAGGAGCTCCATAAAACCAGTTACGTATCTTCTGCATCGGATAGAAGTAAAACGGTGTATAAGCGGTAGTTTCTTCTACACTGTCGGTTGTGGGACCCGGAGTAACACTTGGTCTAACCTTCTCAGGGTACTTTTCTGCATACACCGCGTTATCTCTGACCGGAGCAAGGATTGGTTTAGAGTTAGGTTTGTACTCAGGGTTTGGGTTAGGATAGTGTTTAAGCTCCGGGTGATGAAATGAGGGTTGAAGGTGGATTTTATCACTGTATTTGTTTCCAAACGACTCATTCTCCGGGATATAAACAGGCCTGGGGAGGTTTTCATTAAACTCTGAGCTAGGTTGAGGAAAAGTGCGGATTAACGGATCTACAAAAGATTCTCTGTCTGGAGAATATAGTTGTTCAACCCGTGAGGAAGGTTTAGAATTCGGCTCACTGAGCAATTTAATCCCGAACCTTGATTCAACAACTTCCTGGAGTATATCAGCCTCAGAGGGGCTTAATTTCTCTCGGTATGTAGAATCATCAGACAGGATTGTCTCCGTCCCGTATTCCTTGCCATCTTCGTCCTTTAGCTCCGGAAATATATTAGGTCTTGTACCTTCACTTTTATTTCCCTTTTCAGATTTGGAGGGCTTATCATTTTTGATCAACATTTTTATTATTGTTGATGAATCAGGGGAGTTTTCTGAATTTCCCGAACTAAAGCTGGTCCGGAAATCTTTATTTTTGTCAGAAGAAATAATTTCTGATTTCCGAATTTCAGTTTTATTTATCTCTAGGTCATTTCTATGACCAATGGTGTTTGAATGAAGGAATGATGTATCATTCTCATGGTTTGATTTAGAATTAGAGACCTGCGATATAAATTTCGGATTTCTGAAACTGGATTCTACCGGAACATTTTGCGTTTTGTAAAACGATTGTTGTGGATAATGTCGTTGAATATGATGCTGAAAATACCTGGGATTTCTGTGATTAGAGTCCAGCGGAATATATTTCTGATTTCTATGGTTCGATGTGTGTGGATTTCTAGCTTTAGAGTCCTGTGGAATATATCTTTGATGGGTATTCCTTCTATCGAGGGGAATCCACTGATTGGAATTTAATTTAATATTTGTGGGAATATTTTCACGATAATGAAAAGCTTTCCTGTAACTTGGATTTACTTGAGGATTTACTTTTAAAAAAGCTGGATTTGGTTGATGAGGTGTGTACTCTGTTAACACGGAATCAATTGGGGATGAAAACTCTGAGTTGGGATCAACTCTTTCTGTGATAACTCTGGCAGGATTGACCCTACCTGAATAAGAAACTCTTTCTATTTTGCTTCCAGAAATACCTCTCTCAGGAATAACTCTTGCAGAATTAAATACCTGATTAACTCTTGCAACACTTGACATTTGATTAACTTGTCCTGTTTTTACGCTTTCTAGGTTCAATTCTGGATTCACGTTTTCTGAGTAAGATACAGGCTTAACTTCTTTCTGATTACCTGTACCCAAGTTAAACAGTGGATTAACTGTATTCAAGATAGATACTGGATCAACTGAGTTAGTTACCAGATCAACTCTTTCTGAGTTAGCTACTGAATCAACTGTTTCTGAGTTAGCTACTGCATCAACTGTTTCTGAGTTAGCTACTGAATCAACTGTTTCTGAGTTCGTTATTTGAGCAACTATTTCTATTTCTGAGCTATTTACTGGATCAGCTGTTTCTGAGTTAACTACTGGGTTAACTGTATTCAAGATAGTTACTGGATCAACTGTATCTGAGTTAGCTACTGCATCAACTATTCCTGAATTAGTTACTGGATCAACTGTTTCTGAGTTAGTTACTTGAGCAACTGGATCAACTGAGTTAGTTACCAGATTAACTGTTTCTGAGTTAGCTACTGAATCAACTGTTTCTGAGTTAGCTACTGAATCAACTTTTTCTGAGTTAGCTACTGAAGCAACTATTTCTGAATTAGCTACTGAATCAACTATTTGTGAGTTAGCTACTGAATCAACTATTTGTGAGTTAGCTACTGCATCAACTGTTTCTAAGTTAGTTCTTTCAGCATCTTTTTCTGAGCTAGTTACTGGATCCACTGTTTCTGAGTTATTTACTAGAGCAACTGTTTCTGAGTTAGCTATTGGAATAATTTCTGAGTTAGTTACTGGAGGAAGTGTTTTTGAGTTAGCTACTGGATCAACTGTTTCTGAGCTAATTACTGTATTTGAGTCAGCAAGTAATTCTGACAGAGCAGGGTCCGAAAACGTCACTATATCTGAGTTGCCTTGTGTCTCTGAGTTAAACTCTGGTTTCACTATCTCTGAGTTAACTTGTGTCTCTGGGTCAAACTCTGGTTTTACTATATCTGAGTTGATATGTGTTTGTACATCTGTTAAGTTTAATGTAAACCTACTTTGACTAGAGCCTACGCCTTCCAAAGCTTCATCCTAAAATTAAATTGATAATTTTTCTTGTTTAAAAAAATGCAAGCTATCAACAATGAAATCATTCAATATTTTTAAATTATTTTAGATAAAGTATAGAAAGAAAATGGGGTAATTAAGAAAATGAAGGGAAGGAAGAGTAGGATGATTAAGAAAATGAAGGGAAGGAAGGGTAGGATTATTAAGAAAAAGAGGGGAAGGAAGGTTATTAAATTAAGAAGAGAAAGGGAAGGAAGGTTATTATAATTAAGAAGAGGAAGGGAAGGAAGGCTATCATAATTAAGAAGAGGAAGGGAAGGAAGGTTAGGATGATTAAGAAGAAGAAGGGAAGGAAGGTTAGGATAATGAAGAAGCGGAAGAAAAGGAAGGTTAGGATAATTAAGAAGAAGAAGAGAAGGAAGGTTAGGATAATTAAGAAGAAGAAGGGAAGGAATGTTATTATAATTAAGATGAGGAAGGGAAGGAAGGTTATCATAATTAAGAAGAGGAAGGGAAGGAAGGTTAGGATAATGAAGAAGCGGAAGAAAAGGAAGGTTAGGATAATGAAGAAGCGGAAGAAAAGGAAGGTTAGGATAATTAAGAAGAAGAAGGGAAGGAAGGTTAGGATAATTAAGAAGCGGAAGAAAAGGAAGGTTAGGATAATTAAGAAGAGGAAGGAAAGGAAGGTTAGGATAATTAAGAAGCGGAAGAAAAGGATGGTTATGATAATTAAGAAGAGGAAGAAATGGAAGGTTAGGATAATCAAGAAGAGCAAGAAAAGGAAGGTAAGGATAATTAAGAAGAGGAAGAAAAGGAAGGTAAGGATAATCAAGAAGAGCAAGAAAAGGAAGGTAAGGATAATTAAGAAGAAGAAGGGAATGAAAGGTAGGATAATTAAGAAGAGGAAGTGTATAAGGAGGATACAGAAGAATGAAGGTAGGTTATGAGGATAAAAAAGGACGGAAGGAAGGGAGGGCGGGGGGGGGGCAGGAAAAAAAGAATAAGTATAGTTATAAAGAAGGAAAAGCAAGAGGCTGAGGGAGGTAATGTTGAAGGATTAAGGAAAAGGATTTAGTTAAATCTTTAAAAATTCATAAATTCTAAACAAAACACCCTTCACATTGTAAACCCTTTTAATTAATTTTAAGGAATTTATACAATATATTATAAATTAAAAACAGAGAGATTAAGTTAAGGAGCAATAAGCAAACGAAAAAAGGGATTAGATAAACCCTCTAAAATGTTGGATAATAGTGTAATTGGATTTGTCCTAAATTGAAAATTGAAGATTCAAAAAGCTGTAAAAAATGAACTTATTTTCCCCGAGACCCCACGCTTAAAGGAACTGCAAAGCGTTGACACTTTATACAAAGATGGTAATGCCCTATTCAGAACGTTTTCCTTTGTGGAATATGTTGTCGTTTATATGTTATCCTGCAGTAAATATGTTCAAGTCTCTTTTGTAGAGAAATCTCAAATAATCAGTTTTCAAAATTATAAATATTCCTATCTAATTCATACTTGATCAGACTGGGGCACCAGTTGGGAATCGGGGCTTTGCATTGAGGATCATATGAAACAACGCAAACAGTCCCTTTAAACATATATGAAACAACGCGAACTGTCCCTGTAAACATATAGAAACAACGCAAACAGTCCATTTAATCATATAGAAACAACGCAAACAGTCCCTCTAAATATATAGAAAAAACGCAAACAGTCCCTTTAAATATATAGAAAAAACGCGAACAGTCCCTTTAAACATATAGAAACAACGCAAACAGTCTCTTTAAACATATAGAAACAACGCGAACAGTCCCTTTAAACATATAGAAACAACGCGAGCAGTCCCTTTAAACATATAGAAACAACGCAAACAGTCCCTTTAAACATATAGAAACAACGCAAACAGTCCCTTTAAACATATAGAAACAACGCGAACAGTCCCTTTAAACATATAGAAACAACGCGAACAGTCCCTTTAAACATATAGAAACAACACAAACAGTCCCTTTAAACATGAGAATCCGGACAAGTTTAAGCCCAATTGCTTATTATACTCCAGGCAAATCCAAATCGTGTAAAAACTGGGAGTCAAGCGAATCCAGTATTAACACCTGGCCTGAAAGTACGGCAGCGTGAGATACAGTTCATATAAAATCAAAAGTTTAGTTGCTAAGGAACTGAACACGTGACTAAAACTCTTATTTTCTAATCCTTATATCTTTGTAACCCGATGATGTAGCCTGTTATAATTCAAGCCATGAATTTCACTCGATCAAATATTTAAAATTTTAAAATTAGGGAGAGACTTTTTGGTTTGAGGTCAGAAATTCAGATTACCCTCGGTTCTCCAAGGAAGGAGGGTGCCCCCCCCCTCGGTTCTCCAAGGAAGGAGGGTGCCCCCCCCCCCCTGGAGATTGTGTTAAAGGAGATTTACAGGGCATAAGCAGATAAAAATGAAAATTTTTAGTCACATACTTCCTTCTATTCTAAAAATAACTAATAAATATTTTCTGTTAAAACACAACTATAGAGTAATGATTTAGAATTTATTAGTTTGAGTTGTCTAGCTGTCCAGAGGGCTTTAGGTTGGAGATATTGAAGGTTAAAAACTGACAGGTCAAACTTCATTCATTCATAAAATAAGATCAATACGATGTGAAAATATGAAAACGAGAATGGAGATTGGTTGCCTACATCTACCCTACCAGTACTCATATACTCATTCATAGTCTCATATACTACCCTACCAGTACTCATATACTACCCAACCAGTACTCATATACTACCCTACCAGTACTCATATACTGCCCTACCAGTACTAATATACTACCCTACCAGTACTCATATACTACCCTTCCAGTTCTCATATACTACCCTACCAGTACTAATATACTACCCTACACACAACTGAGTGATTTTAGAATTAGCTGAGCTGCGAACTTAAAAATAAGCTACAGGGTGTCCCACGAAACATGACAGTTGGTGAATAGTTTAGAATGTCTTTTTCCTTAATTTGTTGAGTTGTTTGGTACCAAAGATCAATAAAAATATTATCATGTTATATTAAAATTGATTTCAAAGAAAGATAATGAAGTAATAGGATGTTTTAACTAAAAATAACGATTTTTAAATGTCATGTTTCGTGGGACACCCTGTAACTTCAATCAGTTCTAATGAGCTGAACTTATTAACTTATCTTTTATTGGTCAAATGTTTGAATGTAGACAAATGAGAGACGAGAGAATAAGTTCAACTCATTTGGACCAATCTAAATCAATGTCATTCATTTAACAGCTCAGACTTTGATTGACATTTGTAAACTTAAATATTTTTAAAGTTTTAATCCAAAGAAAGTGATTTTATAAAATTTAGAAAAGAGATAATTGAGTTAATATTAAATTTCAGAGCAATTAGCCTTTAACCGTTCCTAGCTCTATGAACTCATGTAAATCTTGAGGTCACAGAAGTTGCCACAAAAAATTTAGCCTATCGGTTCAGCCGTTGATGTCAATGATAATCAAATTAAAAACTTTTAAATACATTTTTTTACCTTTGTGGATGATACATTGGGAAGGAGAAGAGAAAAGGATGAAACCCAGAAAAGAATTGAACTTAAAACTAACATTTTCCACTTTAATCTAGATCCGTTTATTCATTGAGTTAAGTAGATCTGCAGGTATTCAGGTAATCTTGTTTTCTTAGAATTAATGTATGTTTCATGCTGCTACAGAGTTAATTCCTTTTCGAATTATTAAACATTTAAAAAACTTCATCTCACGAATTCTGAATATTCTCACCTACTTTTATACCACAGTAATGAATAATTAAATATATAGGTTAAAATTATGCTTTTGAAACCAAAAATGGATTGAATACAACCTAATTTGCAAAGAATCAAAACCAAGACTGTTAAAATAACAAATATATATAAATATTCAAATATATGAAAAGTTATATTTTCATATCACTGAACTTTACTTTGAATTAGACTAAAAAAATCAGGAAAATTCTAAATTCTGTCAAATTCCTCCCATGTAGTTTCTGCATAAGTGCCCGGTATCAAAGTTCTTAATCTAACTAGTCTCTAAAATTCTTGATGGATTGTGATTGTAAATTAAAATGTAGTGTCACATGACTGCAAAACTATATTTTTGTAAACGTTCCAAATAAATCTGGAGTTTTTGAAATATAATTAAAAATCGAATTTAATAAAAAGCTTGCACTATGGTACCCTAGTTTTTCTTGTCTATATTAGTCTTCAAATAAACATTTTTAATCTGAAACAAATTGTATTTATTCTAAATATTAAATATTAAAAATAACTTATTCTTTTGTAATCCGGGAATAATTCTTGATAATCCTAAATCTGCTGATTCTTCAAAAATAGCTAACTATGACAATACACATAACTACTATTTCTGGAGAAAATGACAATTATTTATTAAATAATGTGCCTGGGGGCCGATCTTTCAGGGTTCAAATTTGGCATAATGTAAAAAGAGAAAATGCAGTTTTCAAAATTTTTATTTTAAACATTTACTTTTCTTATCCTTTGTAAAATTTTGTCCCTGGCAGCAGAAGCGATCCAAAAACGATCCAAAAACGATCCAAAAACGATCCGAAAACAAATGTGTTGTAACGATCGTATTTCGATTGTTTTTTTTTTTCATTTTTTTTAAGGATGAACAAGTGACATGATATCAAACTTAAACAGAATACAGTTTTGAAATCTTAGAAATATTATTAAATATTTTCTAAAATCTATAACACGGCCCCCATTAAATTAAGCGTTTTTTTCTGTCTTATTTTTTACCTGGATGGAAAACCCACGCGCTTGTGTCAAAAAAGTAAATCTGAGGGAAAATCCTGTCTATAATATTTTACCTATGAAGCGGGGGGGGGATACTGTCTATAATATTTTACCTATATGAACCGGGGGAGGGGAATCCCCTTCTCTCCCTTCTCTTTCCTCCTATTTGTCTATTCAAGCTTGTGTATTCTCTGTTTACAGTTTACTTTTTTAATTAAAAAGAGAAATTGTACTTTGTAATCCTCCTCTCATCTAGATTGTAAATTTTTGGACATTTTATTAATTTCTTAGAACCACCATCGTCCCCACCCACTCATCTACCTTTCCCTCTCCACTTCCTTTCCCTCTCCACTTCCTTTCCCACTCCACTTCCTTTCCCAAACCATTTCTTTCCATTTGCTCTTCCTTTCCCAACCATAATCTTTCCTCTCATCTTCTTTTCCAAGCCAACTCCTTCCCTCTCCACTTTCTTTACAAAACCATCTTCTTCCCTTTCCTCTTCCTTTACCAAATCAGTTTCTTCCCTCTCCTCTTCCTTTCCCTGACCATCTCCATCCCTCTTCTCTTCCTTTCTCAAACCATCTTCTTCCCTCTCCTCTTCCTTTCTCAAACCATCTCCTTCCCTCTCATCTTCCTTTTCTAAACCATCTCCTTCACTATCTTTTTCACTTCCCAATCCATCTCCTTCCCCTCTTCTTACTTTCCCAGACATACATCTCCTTCCCTCTCCTCTTCTTTTCTTAAACCATCTCCTTTCCTCTCCTTTTCTCTCCTCTTCCTTTCCAAAATCATCTCCTTCCCTCTCATCTTCCTTTCCCAAATAATCCCTCTACCCTTTCTTTCACAAACCATCTCCTTCCCTCTCCTATCCCAAAGACCAGTTCCTTCCCTCTCCATTATGCCTTTCAATCTTTCCCTAAACGCTCCAATCCACCCTCCTCCACCCTTTC